ATTTCGGATTGCTTCGCAATCCAATGCTCGCTTTGCTCGCTCATTGGATACGTTCTTAATGTCTAGCTTTTGTATACTTTTTGGAACACTGAAGTTCCGAAAACTTTTCACTGTAGAAAATTCTAAACCTGTGCATTTCAATATTAATTTGAAATTTAAAACAGATCGCATATTTTTCTTAATCACACTATTCTAAATTTCAGTTGTTGAGAAAAGTAACTGTTGTAAGTTTTGTTTTAAAGTCTTTCCCACCATAGGGCTAAAACCATGTGGTGTAAAACAATATGAAATAGTACTGAACGCCGGATGTAAAGCATCGGCTTCGATGAAGATAATTTTGTGAGAATGTTTTTGATAATTCGGTGAGAATTCACCCGATTAGACATATGATACTACGTGCTCTTGCGCGCCGAAGCCTATCAATTAAAACGTATTAGCGTTTTATATAATATAGATTAGCCATATGATGCTTACTACGTGCTCTTGCGTGCCGAATCCTATCAATTAAAAATGAAAACTGTTGCCAACGCGAGAAAAGAAATATCATGGGTTTTATTGATACATACGTATTAGCGTTTTATATAATATAGATGGGCTTCTGATTGAAAGAGTTGCTTTTTCTACGGGAACTTTACCTTCTGTGAGAATTGCCTTTCGTTGACGAGTCAATTGGTTTAAATTCCTGGATTACTTTTTGAGGGAAACTGCTAATAAACCAGCAATGCTGGAAATGTAAACATCCGTTTTGAAGGTGGAAACAGACCAGTCGATAAGCTGTGAGGGGTGGTAGCCATAAATTATTCGCGATCCATTTTGTCTCCGAGTTCCACTCATTATCTTTTCGTCCCCCTATTAGAATGAAGATTCTCAATTTGCCCTTGTTGGCTGCTTACCAACTTTCAGCATTATAAGTGGACTATCAGTTACTCATATTTGCATTCATTTAGAGGGGAAAAATGAAAAACTGTCACAGTTACCTCGGTGACAAGGAAGCTCTAACATATAACGTAAGGAGTTTCTTCCAAATTTTACCTAAATTATACGCTAACTTAACGTAACAAAATTAAAACTAATTTCTAAACTCATTTCAATTAATTTATGTTGTATACATTTTGATGACGATTTCTTAAAGTGATAACTAAATTTAAAAATAATGATAATCTTACTGAAAATTTTATTAACAGTCATATAAGCACATAATAATTAATCACTTTCTTACTTTTATATAAACTTTCTTTTTGATACATTGTATAAAATTCGTAAAATAAAATTCAATACAGCAGGAGATTTTTTTAACTATACTTTTGGACAATTAATCAATATTTTAAGATATTTTTCTAAATTTTAAAGTTTAAATTTAGTGTTTCGTCATTTGTATATAAAATAAAAAAGAAACGACAAAACGTATAAAATATGAAACCGTAAATGCATGGCTATGTTTAAAATGAAATAACTTAGAAGATAAAATTTCATTTTTGATGCCTTTAAACTTTAAAAATCTAAATGATATTTTTAAAATATATAATAACAATTAGTTTTAATTTTTTTTTTTTTTGTAAATAAATTTTATTAATTGTTGCTTCTGATTTTTTTTTTTCATTTCATTATTTTAATTTAAAAAAATTTCAATTAAACAAGCTGTACCTTTTAGTAACGTGATGTTTAAAATCTTAGGATCTCAAACAAAAGGATAAATTCGGAATTCTTTAGCAACAAGATTTATTTCTTTTTATATGAGAACATGTACGGATAGTTTAGTAGTCACAAATGGCAACATCAAAGTATCTCTAAAAAGAATGAAATCATTTGGTGTTCCCATTTCGATGTTGTTCCTGAGGGGAAAAAATCTTCACTCTTATCTTTATGTCTTCCGAATCTACTATCTACTGGGTAAAAAAAGGGAAATGAAAGCTTTGAATGCGGTGGTTTTGTGCAAGATAGTTTTGTTCTTGGAAAAACTATCATGGAATGACTTATCTTATCTCAACATGCTATCCGCGTTTTGATAGCAGCATGTATATTTATAAAGCTTTTATATTTGCATAGAGATAGTCAGTCGTTGAATAAAAGTTACTTAGTAGCTTAGAGACTAAAAATACAAAATCTCTGACAAAAGCTAAAGGGTGTTTAAAAATTTAGCAAGCTTTTCTTATTTTACTCTTTTGCTTAAAAAATATTTAATATTTCTTTTGTATTTAATTATTTGGTTTTTATTTTGAATATTTCGCATTTTTATGCACCAAAATGAATAAAGTAAATTTTTTTACGTATACGTTTCTATTCAAGTATCACTAATGTTAAATAAATCTATTTCGATAAACACGTTCTTTAAGTGGCTTTCTGTCTAAAAGAAATTTAAAAGAAATATTTTAAATTATTTTAAAACGATTGATCGAAATAAGGTTTTTTTTCAACGAAAAGCATTATTGCTGAAAGCAAAAAGAAACTTTTCTCTTATTTTTGAGTTAACTATCAAAGTCTGCTATCAAAAGGATAAAAAAAAAGAAATGAAAACTTTGATTGTTAAGGTTTAGTGCAAAATTGTTTAGTTCATAAATACAATCATGCACGGTAAAAAAGTTTCTAGCAAAATTACCTTACTAAGTACTAGTAATATAACATTTCTGGTAAAAAATAAAAATTATTAGAGTTAATATAACCAAACTACGCGGTATTAAGCATTTTTGTTCATATGCTAGTGGTTTACTGGAAACCCAGGTTTTGAAAATTATAGTTTTAATTATCACACATTTAGTAAAAAATACAAAGCTGATGAATAAATTTAACCTACTAAATGGTTTTTATGCCATACTCTAAGGTATCATGATAAAATTACTAAAATTTATTCATATTTATTAAAATAATATTACATTTATCAAAATTTGTCCCTTATTATAAAATCATATTTTATTGTAGAGCTAAAAACACGGTAAATTTTATCATAATTTAGTAGCTTCGATCATACTTTATTTCTCAGTGTATTATACGCGTACATTAAAAGTTACTGCTTATCTGATCTAAAAAATTTTAATTTTCACTTTTCCAAACAAATCTTTTACAGATCTTAGTTTAACAGTGGCAATGTAAAAGTAGGGATGATTTTTAAACTGATGCAGTTCGCACGGATGAATATATTTGTAATAAAATATAGTAAATATGCAGTTGCATTTAAAATTGTTATATTAAGTATTTTAATTAAAACATGTGATGTTAATAAACTGAAATTTTAATGTGGTATTTCACCTTGCTTGGAAAACAATGAAGTTTTTCTCGTATAATATATAAATATCTTCAATACACGATATTTTTAACACATTGAATGCCATGGAAGTCACCGGTGACCGGCACTGAGTTTGCTCGTAGCGCCACGGTGACCGGTGAAACCAAGATTATTAGAAACACATAATTCGAGTAAATTTTTTATTTTTTAAAAAATTATCGTTACTAAAAAGGTTTGAAGAATTAATGCAATATAGAACACCCAAAAATAGTTTTATTTATACGCACAGAGAGGCCAACTTGTTCCGGGCAGCGAATAAATATTCTTACGTGGTAGTTTATTAATCGCGATTCTTGGTTTAATAAATCAATTTAGTATATTTTTATCCACCACTATTTCTAAACAATTCGTAGGCTTATATAATTCACCTTATATAAGTCATGCTGAACCTTTTAAAAAAATAGCAAAATCTGTTGATATTTGCAAATTTAGTTTGTAGTTATTTACCACCTGGCCAAACGGGCAAGCCATGTAAACTAAGCGTGGCATTCAACGTGTTAAGAAGGTCAGCATTCGAACCTAATATTTATGCTTGTCATATTTATAATAATGACTATTGCTTCAAATGTAGCAGCTAAACCTTTTAAAAAACTAGCAAAATCTGTTAATATTTGCAAATTTAGTTTGTAGTTATTTACCACCTGGCCAAACGGGCAAGCCATGTAAACTAAGCGTGGCATTCAACGTGTTAAGAAGGTCAGCATTCGAACCTAATATTTATGCTTGTCATATTTATAATAATGACTATTGTTGCAAATGTAACGCTAAACCTTTAAAGAAACTAGTAAAACCTATTGATATTTGCAAATTTAGTTTGTAGTTATTTACCACTTGGCCAGACGGGCAAGCCATGTAAAATTAGCGTGGCATTCAACGTGTTAATAAGGTCAGCATTCGATCCTAATATTTATGCTTGTCGTATTTATAATAATGACTATTGCTGCAAATGTAACAGCTAAACCTTTTAAAAAACAAGCAAAACCTATTGATATTTGCAAATTTAGTTTGTAGTTGTTTACCACTTGGCCAGACGGGCAAGCCATGTAAAATTAGCGTGGCATTCAACGTGCTAAGAGGGTCAGCATTCGATCTTAATATTTATGCTTGTCATATTTATAATAATGACTATTGCTGCAAATGTAGCAGCTAAACCTATTGATATTTGCAAATTTAGTTTGTAGTTATTTACCACTTGGCCAGACGGGCAAGCCATGTAAAATTAGCGTGGCATTCAACGTGTTAAGAAGGTCAGCATTCGATCCTAATATTTACGCTTGTCATATTTATAATAATGACTATTGCTGCAAATGTAGCAGCTAAACCTATTGATATTTGCAAATTTAGTTTGTAGTTATTTACCACTTGGCCAGACGGGCAAGCCATGTAAAATTAGCGTGGCATTCAACGTGTTAAGAAGGTCAGCATTCGATCCTAATATTTAGGCTTGTCATATTTAGGCTTGTCATATTTATAATAATATGACAAGCATATTGCTCGTCATATTTATAATATATGACAATATTTAGGCTTGTCATATTTATAATAATGACTATTGCTGCAAATGTAACAGATATTTATATACTGATTAAAATTAACTTTAGAAATTTATATTTACTTCTTAGTAAAAAGCTTTTAATAAATTTATTAGAATCATAAGTGAGTTCGAATTCCATATATTTTCCTACTAGTTCAGCTTGAGATGAAGTAAAATGATACTTACATGCCTTAAAAGTGTATGCACGTTTTGTACATCTACGTCTACAACAAAGCTCTTGATGCCTTTTCTGCCTAGCTCTTTCAGCGTTTTCCGATAGTCTTTCTCCTCTTCGAATTGCCTGACTATAACACGTCTTTGTTTTATTACAGGATCCTTCAGCAATTCCTGCAGTCGAATTAAGGCTAGGAAAGAATTAATAAATCTTTTCTTTCGTTTCAGAGAAAAAAAACTAAGAATATTAACAAGACATGCAAATCAGTTCAAATCGAACAAAATGCAGAGATGAAATATTAAAAGGAATTAAATAATGAAGTAAAACAAAATTGACTTCTTTGATAAATATCTATTCTTATTTGGTTTAAAATTGTGATGAAATTGCAGGTTTTTTTTTGCATTGGCAGGAAATTACAAGTAATAACAATTTTTTTAAATTTTATTTTTGAAGTTTATTTTTAAAATAAATGATTAATGTTTAAAAATGTTTTTATATGATACTACTGAATCACTAATTTTTTTCACTTTATTGCATTAATATATTTATTCTGATAGCTGTTTAAATTAAACAAACTCATATATTATTTTAATATAATTTTTGTAATACTCTGTATAAAATAACTGTACTATGGGTGCATCATCCGGAAAATCCATTTTATCGTAATTTTTACAGTATTATATATTTAATTAGAGTGATTTAGTAATTTTACATTAATCAATTCTCTAAAAATTTCCATATACGAGATTTTCTGTCAGGTAAAAATAGATTTTACGGTAAAAAGTACCAGCATCCGGAACATATTACGGTAATGTTTACCGTAATTTGTTCCCGTTTACAGAAATTTTTATAGTGTATTATTGAATACAAAAACTATACTGATTACGAAATTACCGGTTGCTAAGGCACAATATAAACAAAAGAAGGACACAATAAAAATTTTCAAGAATTGCTTTTCACCCTGATTGAATTGATTCACGAAATGCGAAGCGAGCAATCATTAGGTTTCTTTTGAATACATTTATAAAGCATAGTCTGTAAAATTATTTATTTCCCATTATAAATGAAAAAAATTATTTGATTTTGAAATCATACGCCAATCTACTTTATATATTTTTTTCACTTCTATCTGACTACTGTAAACTAATTTTAGGGCAATAAGTTCAGCGGAAGAATCATATTTTACGTATAAATTCACGTTTTGTCCATGTTCTGACTCACTGCGCATGCCGAAACAACTTGCGATATGCATAGTCACGTGATATCGTTAGAAGAACTTATATGTTGAAAAGAACGGTTAAGACAAACTCATGCGGAAACTTCCTCCCAGATTTATCTTTCTCATTTCATGTTAAATAAATAATTGAAAAGAAACACGATCCGTCATTTCTAATAATTTATGAAAAGAATTTATCTTCTATTTATCTGTATTTCTGTACAACCGATATACAAGCATGATAAAAGTATAGTCAAGTGGACGGCAATGCTAAAAATATTAACACTATAATGTGTGGAAATGTAGTGAAAGCTCTTCACCTTTTCTTTTTTTAATTAAATAATTCAAAATAATTATAATCAAATTCTGACACCATGATATATAACATACTTAAACAAAATAACAAAAAATAATGCGCATTATCAACGAATTTTAATATAAGTATACAAAACTAAATATCAATATAATTTGGCAAAGTAGAGCGTTGTTAAATTTCCTTCATTGTCGTGCTAGTTAAGAAAGAAAAATGTGAAAAATGCTTGATTTAGAATAATCTTTCTTGGAATATCTTCAACACTTTTAAAAATGGCTTATCAAATTACGGGGTATGCGCATTATCCGTAAAATCCCTTTTACCATCAAATCCATTTTTAAAGTAAAATAAAATACCGTAATTTTTACTGTAAAATTTATTTAATCAGAGTGATTCAGAGATTTTAAGATAGTTATTACTGCAAAAATTACGGTATATCAAAATTTTTGTTCTGTAACTAGTTCTGGTAAAAATGGATTTTACGGTAAAAAGCACCGGTACCCTCCGTGCATCATCCTTAAAACTATAATTCTATGGTAAAAACCATTTCCACTGTGAAGTACTTTACCGTATCTTTCACAGCAATAAATATTTAAGTACATTTGATTTAGTGAATAATATTAATTTTATTCATTATAATTAATTGTCCCGCAGTAGACTGATCGTTAAAACACAATTCCCAGCAGATTACTGAAGTCAAGCATCACTGGCTACGGTCAGTGTGTGGGTGGGTGACCACTTGGATCAGTCTGCGTAAGGACCGAGGGTGTGATGTATTGGTTCTCGTTACACTATTCTACCGTAAAGTGCTCGACTTCGCGCGCAGGTCCTCGGGCTACCGAAGCGGGGGTGCCATCCCCTCGGCAGAGGATCAAAATTGTGATGGCATGTCTTCGGATCATCCTCAGGGGTGTTTCCCAGACCGTCGCCAGTAGCCCATCGTGCAGCTCTAGTGCGACGTAAATTAACTACAACACCAACATTATAATTAATTAATTATCTTCAGTGATCAATACAATATAAAATATTAAAAAAACTTACGAAATATCTGATTTTTTGTTGAGTAAAATTTTACGGTAAAAATGGAATTAACGATAAAAAGTACCGGCACCCCGGGTATCTTTGCCATTTTTTGTAATTTGATGAATAATTTTTTACTGTTCAAAGGCTGCTTCGTATTCTAAGCAAAACAAAAATCATAAGAATTTCGATCCAATTTCAACCCAGAATCAATATAGCTGTTGTGTTAAGAAATATTTAAAAGAAACACATTTTTTTGCAGAACTCTTTTATAAATATGATTATAGTTAATCTCATTCTGGTTATGTTATTAATACTAGCGCATATCTAACAAGTAATCATCCAAGCTTTATAAACTGGAAACAAGACTGACAGCCATTAAGAATGACGTAAAGCTTCGGGAAATATGTTTTCCAATAGCTATGATGGTATTACTTTCACTTCAAAGGCTTCTAGAACTTTGCTATCAGCTAATTAAAAGTGACATGTTACTGACGGTAAATCACTCCCATGTTTCATGTTTACGCTTGAAATGAGTGATATTAAATTCTTTTGGGTGCTTTTAGTACAACGTCTTTTCAAGTTGAATTTATGAAAGTCATAACTATGCTATCCCGCCATTTCGGTTGAAGAAATTTCGTCCAAACGTTTATTCTATGTAAAGAATTTTATAGCTTCGGAATACTTTTAACATTCTGGAAAGCATTTTTGGAACACAACTTTACTTGCGTTAAGTGAGAGATTTGGAAGGGGACCAAGTTTGTGGAACAAAAAGAACTTCGTGAAAGTATGCACATTGTTAAAATTTATAGAGGGTTACGTAATGGGTATAAGGGACAAGGCTTAGAAGTGCATTAATGCTAAAATATTTGTTATTTTTTAAAAAAATAATATTTACTGGTCGAAAGGAGATATCAATCTAAAAGCTAAATATGAGGGTGTTTTTCTATTATGAATAGAATATCATTCATATATACTTTAAATAACAAGACTATTGCTTAGTGCAAGCATTACTTGACAATTTGCTTCATTTTAAAAAGTGAAGAAAAATACATAAAAATTGAGGGCAAATTATAAAATGCCAAACTTTAACAAAATCAAAAACTGAGAAAGAATGTAGTTTTGAAGAAATTCGTGTTAAACTACGAATACTGATTATAAATTGCACATATCCTTTTAATTACAAAACTAACTTACTCAAAGATATGATATTGAACTATCGAAATTAGTCAAATAGTTCTTTTCACATTTTTAACAGTTATTTATAAAATAGATGTTTTGCTTTTATCATTAGTTATAATTATAAAACTATTTGCACATTGTTAATTCATTTTTATCTCTTCTAATGTAGATATAAAAATAATAATTAATGGTAACTAGCAGGAAAAATAAAAAAAAAATCTTATTGCACTAATTTTAATTAAAAAATTTATGCCTTACTTTATAATCAATCCTGCTGTTTAATGAATAGGTATTACTTAATTTGTGTTAAAAATGAAAGTAGAAAAACATAGCGAACAATACTTCAAGATTTCCAACGTTTCTTTCTTTTTATTTTCAAATTTATGCTACTTTAGTAATTAGAGCCTCTAATGTTTAAACCTAAAATTAAAGCCTCTAATATTTTAGTTTCGTGAAGGAAAAATTGTTCAGAGATAGTGAACCTAATCAAAAATTCTAAAACAAATTAAGCTATTGCAAAACTTTTTATCAGAACTTACAATTTTACCTGATTTTTAACATGCCTGTTTAAACTATTTATTAGAAATTGTGAACAAATTTCCTTTAAATCTAGTTTATTAAAATATTAGATATTACCTTGCAACCACTGGGAAAAAAGATTTCTGAAACTACGGAATTTCCGAAGCAGTTCTGGCTTACACTACTCTAGCGTTTTAACCAATTAAATTACTGCTAAAGCCAATTTTATTTTCATCTCCAAATATTCGCTTGGATAAATCAAGTAAATTAAGAGTATGACTTATAGTGTACAGCTATAATCTAGATATAGTTATTGTAAGTTTTTAAAAGTTTTTCTTTTATTTAAATTTAAAAAAATCTAATTTACTAGACACATTTTTTATCTTAACAACAATATATATATTATCTGTATTTACCATCATTATGTTCATATAAAATGGCAAACTGTTTCCACTGCTTCTCAGTGACGTAGGCCAAGTAAGCTAAGCCTAATGCACTGGGATGTGGATAAAGATTCACTGTATGCTGACTGGGCTTTGTTCTATAATCCCATCTAGTTTGTATATGTGGTACTTCAAGTGCCGCACATGTAGATTGTACTGCACTACTAGATTCTGTAGATTGTGGGCCGAAGACAGCTGCCATGCCTCCTCCCAATAGCTCACATACTGAAAAATATAGAAACATTTTTATGATAATATTCATAAATTGTTTTCATTAACAGATTAATTAAACAAGCATATATATATACAGCATAATAAATAAATACAAAAAGCACGAAGAAAATTAAGAAAAACAAAAAAAACATTAGGTTTTATTTACGTGATATTTTTACTTATTGTCTTCCATTTTATTTGTTGCAATTTTTTCGTAAAATTTTTTGAGTGCTTCTCTCTCTATTGTACTGATATATTTTGCTTTGGCTATATTGATACAATATTAGAAAGGACTCTTTTTTGTGGATATAATCGTGTGAGCTGATGAAAAGATTATATCTTTTATTTTCTGGATTTTTTTAAAAAATTTTGTCCTTTATTTCGGACTGATTTTTTTCATTTTTTTTAAATATTTTTTCCCGGTTTCTTGTTAATAATATTATTATTTTTCCTTTATTTATTTTTCCCCTTCTTTCAATGTTCTGTAATTCTTTCCTTGTTTTCTCTACATTTTGAACTTATACAGGGTGGTCCTAAAATATATGTCAAAAATGTAAAGGTAGGTAGAGGGGACTTAAATAAGCATATTTCGAATAAGATTGTATGGGCGGAAAAGCCGCCTTGAGACTGAGGACAGCGGCTTATAAAAACTTTGCTAGCTGGATTCCCACACGTATCTCAATCAGCATGCATCGTTTCACCAAAGTGGAGCTTGCCGACGTGCATTTCATGTATGGGGCTGCACAAGGAAACGAATTAACTGCTCAGAGGATGGACAGGGAGCGTCGGAAATCACCTGGACGCTATCTACGGCCAGCATTGGATAGGACGGGGTGGTCCAGTTCCCTGGCCACCGCGTTCTCCTGATTTAACCTACTTGGATTTTTTCTTTTGGAGTCATATTAAAAGCCTGGTGTACGAGAGTCCCATCAAGAAGATCTTGTTTCCCTCTTGTCTGTTTCTGCTTTACATGTGCTTCACATGCCTAACGTCTTTTCTAATGTACGCCGATCCATGCGCCGTCACTGTGAATCCTGTATCGTTGTTGGTGGCTGCTCTTTCGAGCACCTCTTGTAAACTGTTGATAAATTTTTATTTTCTTTTGTCTTTACTTGTCTTTTCAGTTTCCTCTGATTCATACTGCTTTACAAGCTAGTGCTTTAATGTGCCATTACCGCACACACATTCCTATCCGAAATGTGCTTATTTATGTCCCCTCTACATACCTTTACATTTTTGACGTATATTTTAGGACCACCCTGTATACATATATATATATATATATATATATCTATATATATATTTATATATTATAATTACGAGGTACATTTCGAAATAAAGTAAAATTATTCTACGATAAAAATGACTCCTTATAGTGCCTCAAAGTTCCGAAGATACGAAAAAATAAAGTCATTGTAAGTAAGAGTTTAAAATGAAAGAAGAAAAGCAGAAATTAAATTTACTGATAAATAAAAAAATCAATAAAAAATGGGTTTAAATTAGATTGACTAATCTAACGAATAACAAAAGTTTATAAATATATACAGTGGCGGCCAAAAGTGTGGAAATTTTTTGAAAGTTTCGTGTTTTTCAACTTTGTGTGCTTGTAGAATATATTAGTTTTCACTTAATATATCAAATTGATCAAATCGTTTATATATCAAATTGAAGGTAATTTAATGTAAAATGTAATCACAAAAACAGAACTAAAATATCTGTATTACAAAAAAAGTTATGCTCATTTTAGTGGAGCAAACAAACACAAATCGTTTTGAAAAAAGACGTGTTTTGTAATAAAAGGGTACTAGCCAATCACAAACACTGTTCTTAGGACCCATCAAATGTCTGTAACTATAGTTTAGGTTATTTGGATGGTAAAAGAGCAGCGTGGATGGAAATATTTTGCGAAATGATGCATACTACTACAATTAAATAGAGTATTGCTGTTTTTGAATATTTAAAGTCCTTTTTTTTATTAAACTAATTTTAAACAATGTCATCCACAAAAAGAACCAATTGGACATCTACAAAAAGAAGCCGAATTGTCATATTGAGAGAAAATGGCCTCTTTTATGATGAAATTGAAAGACAAGTTGGTGGTTCAGTGACTTGTTTTTGTGTGCGAAAGTTCTGTTTACGTTATGAAAAAACGAAATCAGTGGAAAATAAAGCCAAACCAGGCCGAAAAATATGCACAAGTGCTACTGCCGATAGAAAAATTAAACGGCTATGCTTTCAAGATAGAAAAATTTCATCAGATGCCATTAGATGTGAAATGAATGCAGTGGGTATTGCAGTGAGTTCAAGAACAATAAGAAAAAGGTTATCAGGATTTGGACTACGAGCTAGAATTCCAAGGAAAAACCATATTTAAATCAAAAGCAACGCGAAAAACGAGCTAAGTGGGCAAAAGAACACATTAAATGGTCAGAAAATCAATGGAAGCAAGTAATCGGGAGCGATGAGAGTAAAATATCGCTCTTTGGTAGTGATGGTAGAAAATACGTGAGACGTAGAGTAGGTGAATAACTTCATCCTGATTGCATTGAAGTAACTACAAAAAGCCCAACAAATGTCATGATTTGGGCATGTATGTCTGCAGATGGTGTGGGCCAAATTCAAGTGATTGATGGCATCCTGAATGCTAAAAAATACATCGAAACTGTCCTGAAACCAAAATTGATACCTTCCATCAGAGATCTCTTCCCCAATAACGCACCATTTATTTTTGAGCAGGATTCAGCTCCATACCACACATCAAAAGTATGCAAAGCATGGTTTCAAAATAAAGGCATATATATATATTACCATGGCCAGGAGACAGCCCTGATTTCAATCCAATTGAAATTTTGTGGCGACATTTGAAAATTCTCGTACGAAAAAAACGTCCATCCAATAAAAGACAACTTATTGAAGCTATAATTGATTCATGGCACCATGTGATTACGAAAGATGAACTCCAAACACACGTTCACTCGATGAAAAGACGCTGTGAAGCTGTCTTAAAAAATAAGAGTTATCCTATTAAGTATTGATTGTGTAAGTATCACTTTAAAAAAATGCTAATCTAAGATAGATCTTACTATTAGTTGCATAAATTTTTTTGTAATACAGATATTGTAATACTGTACTTATTGTTTAATTTTACATTAAATTACCTTCAATTTGATATCTAAACGTTTGTATTTAAGTGAAAGTTAATATATTCTACAAGCACACAAAGTTGAAAAACATGAAACTTTCAAAAAATATCCACACTTTTAACCACCTCTGTATATATATATATACAATAATTTCTCCCCATAAATTAACCATACCTTTAAATTTTCGCATATAAATATTTCCTCTTTCTTAAATTTTCTTTATTTCCACATTTTTTCCACATTGTTAAACATTTGTCGAAAAATAATGTGTTTAACTTTTTTTCTTTCTATATATACAATATATGAGAAATTGTTTTTAAAAAAATGACGTCTATTTATTATCTTGATATAGCTCAAAAGCCTGGATTTTTTTAAGCGTATGAACAAATTCTCTACTCTTCCCCTATACTTCTTTACCTTTCTATTATTTCCCTATAGAGTTTTTTCGAAACTTTTAAAAACTCAATGTTTTCACTTAAAACAATTCCTTCTTTTTAAACGAAACTGTCAATTTCTGCGTAGGAGAAAAGACTATGACATGTTCCAATATTTTTTTAAAGGTAGTATCTGTACCAAACAAGTTAGAATGGGTTCTTTTTCTCCTTTATTTTTCAGATGTATTTTTTTATCATTTCAGTTTTATCATTTTTATAAACGTTTGAAATTATTGACACCTTTGACAGAATAAAAAACTTTGTTTGCCTCGTCTGAAAAATCTACACAGCAAATTCTAAAAAAAAATTAAGTAAATAAAAAAGTTGGCACATTTTTTAAACAAAAATTTTTCGGATACATAAATTTTCAAATGTTCATTATTTTGGGCATGTTAGATATGATTGATGGTTTAGGGATGGATTAAGGATTAGAAGTTAGTTGTTAAGAAGTTATTAAAGTTGTTAGTTGTCATCAGTTGTTAGAAAAATCTTGTATCATGAGTTGTGAAGCCTTAACAACTTTTTTTGGAGTAAAAATCTATAGTTTTATTCTTATTTTAATTATTTTGTTTCTCTTTTCTTGCATCATGTGGCATTTCGGAATCAGTTATACCTTTTACGCAAGCGAAATATTCTAACAGGAATGTTCTAAATCTAACGTAACAATTAACATATATAAAAACGAAATGTCCTTTGGCAAAATTCCCATTTCTACGGTGGGGCGACAACCATAGACAAATCATTACGTGACTGGCAATCAACGTATCAATAACGAAAAATGTTCCAAAAAAATTAAACTTACTATCAAATAACGTTCACTTTTCGAAAAACTTTATTATATTTGTTTGTTTATGCTAAAAAAAACTTTTATGTATATTCATAAAAAAATTCAGAGCAATTAAGTAATTATCTTTTAATCTTCGAAACGTTTTACGAAAATACTACAAATTAATTGCTTCATGTTATTTTTTTGAAAAAAAAATTTTATTCATAAAAATAAGCCTATTTTATGAACAATGTGTCTTAAATTCTGATATACACGGAATTTAAAATAAATTAATTTCACAAAATTAAAAATTAATTAAATTTTTAAACTACACAATTTGGATGTAGAACTTCTTTTCATGAAGAGTTCATGAATAATTAAAATGCATTTTCTTTAAGAAACAACTTTTTTTTTGTTCTTGGATGTTTTGCAAAATTTATCAATAATTACAAAAATTCTTCAATTCATAATCATAGAGCTTTCACTCACAAAAATGGAAATATAATCATGAAATTGATTTTTTTTAATCAGAAACTGAACTTTATTAATTATAAAAGGAACTACTTAACAATTGAGTTCCAAGATGTAGTTAATTAAATAATGCATGAAATAAAATTTAATCAATTTTTAGAGTAAGTATAATTGTTGGTGTTCATTTCTATTTGGCATTATTTGATAAAATATTTAATTAATTATATAACGCATCTCATATTTAAATCTCTCAACGCAGATAACGAAATAAAAATTATGACTCTTCCGTATTTTATTGAAACTATTGTTCATGGAAACATTTTTAAACATATATTTTTCTTCACAATGAAATTTTATACTTTCAAAAGAAAAGAAACAGCTGTTTTATAATTACTAAATTGATTTCTTTTAATTAGTAAAACTTTTGCCTCAATAGCTCGTAGTATGCCAGGAGGGTCATTGAGGTTGAGACTTCGCAATTTCATGACTAACGACCAAATAGAAGGAACGTTTATTTTCCAGAAAAGCTGGTATTTCTCAATCTGAAGCTGGGTGAACTTCATGCAGGCAATAAAAACCCAAACCCGGGAATCGAACCTTCACACCGACAGATCAGTGTCTATAGCAATGAAACATCGAGAATTATTTAATCATTAATCTGTTTTAAGGGAATAAAATTTACCTTTAAATTTTATAATCTATGCTCGAGAAATTAGCGATCTTAACTTCTGTCATATTGTCTTTTTTTCGTAATATCTCTGATCTAGTCCCGCAGTGGACTGATCGTTAAGACACGGTTCCCATCAGATCACCGAAGTCAAGCATCACTGGCTACGGTCAGAGTGCGGGTGGGTGACCACTTGGATCAGTCTGCGTAGGGACCGAGGGTGTGAGGTATTGGTCCTCGTTAAACAGTACTACTGTAAAGTGATCGACTTCGCGTGCAGGTCGTCGGGCTACCGAAGCGGGGGTGCCATCCCCTCCGCAGAGGATCAAAATTGTGATGGCATGTCTTCGGATCATCCTCCGGGATGTTTCCCAGACCGTCGCCATTAGCCCATTGTGCAGCTCTAGTGCGACGTAAATTAACAACAAGAACAAGTGATTTCAAAGAAAAGATTTGGAAATGGATAAAAAGAAAACTTGTACAAAATTTTGCTACTACTTTTTAACTCAATTGTTGCAGCTTTTATGTGTAATGAAATGACATGGCATTCAATTTCAAAATTTATTTTTTAAAATGATTTTATAAACTTTATGTTTTAAGTTTGAAAATTTCATAAGTTTATAAAGTTCACCAAAATTAGTTTAAAAAAGAGATATGTAATAAATCAATTTGGCTAATGTAATTTATTTATAAGGTTGCCTATTCCCTTTTGTTTGTAATTGAAACATAGCAATTGCATTTTCTGAACTGAATGAACGCATTTAATGCAATTTTAAGTGCTTTAATGAAACTTTAAATGGAACATCCATGTCTGGAGATAAAAAAGTACGCTAATAACACGGACCACCCTAATTAACTTTTAATCTAATGATCGGATCTTCACGTTCTAGGACTTATTCGTAACGATTCAAAGGGCAACGTCAAATATGCTAATTAATTAGTACAGACGATATTTTAAGCAACGAAATCACACACAAAAACGTATTTTCTTTACACAAACATACCTTTTTTCCAACAGATTCGGATTGCGGACCCTAAAAATATAGGGGGTAGCCACAATCTGAAAAATATGGTACCCATAGTTTGGTCAGGAGAGCGCTCCAAAGTTTGGACCCCTATATGTTAATTTACTTTTTGCGTATTCCGAGATATCACGAGAAATTTTTCAGCGAAATGAAGAATTTTCGGACGCAATTATAAAGTTAGTTTATCCAAAGATAATTCCATGCAAAAAATTAATTAAAGTATGCATTTATAATTTTTTATTTGTTTATTAAAAAATGGTCAAAAAATTTTTTAATTTTAAGGTATTCAATCTTTTACACCATCTCCAAGTTTTGTTAGGCGGTGAAGCTAGTTTTGGTGTTTTACATTTGCTATGTCACTAGTAATTTAAGTCACTAGTAATTCATTATATCTCAACAGCATTTGCGTTTCTTTCTCAGTTAAATATCAATGTACAGTGAGCAAAATAAAAAAAGGGAAATTTTGCATTTGCATGGCAAAATGCAAAATTTGAGCAAAATTGGTTGACTAGTTCCTGAGAAATTAAATTTTAAATGCGCGACTTTTTCAGTATTATAAATATGCGAATTTTAAATGTGCAACTTTTTTTGTGCCTGATTCCGTAACTTAAAATATCGTCTGCATTAATTAGCATATTTAAAGTCACCCCCTCAAACCATTAAGAAGGAGCCCTAGAGCGTGAATATCCGATCATTAGAACAAAAGTTAATCAGGGTAGTCCCTTTTTTTATTTTGCTCACTGTACATTGATATTTCACTGAGAAAGAAACGCAAATGCTGTTGAGATATAATGAATTACTAGTGACTTAAATTAATAGTGACATAGTAAATGTAAAACACCAAAACTAGCTTCACCGCCTAACAAAACTTGGAGATGGTGTAACAATCACCACTTAACTTGTCTCTCTGTTTTCTCTGAAAATCGAATAAGTTTTCACGCGTTTTAGTTCCGGCTTTTATATATCATGTTTCCTTAGATTTTGTTTGAGTTTTTCTTTTTTCCTTTCTAAAATATTGACTTGGGACCCCTATTGTGCGTGCTTACTATTCAACATAATTTTTGACTGGGATTCTAAAAGCATATAGTTAAGACGGGCATTACTAAAAATATCATTTATTTTAAAACGTCATTATTTATTAGTGTCTTTTTTTCTTCTTTTCTTCGCAAACTGCGTTAAACTTACTGATATCATCTACATTCACAGAAAAGTTCTTTTATTTTAAAATAAGTTGTTTGAGAAACGTAGTGAGGGGGGACGCACTCCTCCTGAAGGAATGTTAAGACGTTCATGGAATGACCCCAAGGCAAATTCATTATTACGCTGGTAGAAAAAAGAAAAAAGAAATGTTATAATTTTTATTGGAAATACAACACTTTTGAGCTGAATAAAAAAATTTCAACTATTGGAAGCTTTTTACTATTCCTTTTGCGAAAAAAGTTAATAAAATGTAATAATATTTACTTCTCTGATAATTATTATATAAATTATTATATTATACTCGATGTGAAAAGAGTAGTTATCGAAAAAGTCAACCTTCATCTATATAAAGGTACCCAATCACAGAATCGAGTTAACATGTCTAATATACTAGTGAATTGGAATTATGTGCTTGTAGTGGTCGATAAACTACAAACTCCCCCACCAGAATTATATCTGTGATAGAATACCACTAGTTGATTTATTACTTGTGAAAAACCGGGTGAGCTGTATTAAGATCACCGTACTTTTTGAGCGCTGATCGTAGGAGCTGTATTAAGTTCACGATCGTGGTCGCTCCTATGTTGCCATTAGCAGTCGATTGTATGCAGTTAATTGTATACAGGCCGACGTTGTGTGTGATCGAGACTGAGTAGCAACAGCGTAAGGAGGTGAATAACGTCGCAGTCACAAGTAGCAAGTCAACAGTTCAATGCGGATTATCCATCTTAATAGGCGTGTTCAAATCGAAGTGGGAGTTTCTGTCGTGGGCGTGTTCACATCACGTGCGGGTCACCTATGTGGGGGTGAGTTCTTATCGACAATGTCAACCTTCATCTATGCAAAGATACCCAACCACAGAATCGAGTTAACATGTCTTATATACTAGTGAATCAGAATTATATTTTCGTAATGATAGATACACTACCCTCGATATGTATAAATGCAGACATGAAAGTATGTAGTGACATTTATTTATATTTTGCGTTCTCTGAGAAAACTGTTACGCACAAGAATTATATGTTCCTTTGGGGAAAAAATTAGGCGAAAATCATGAGTTAGTTCCAGCAGTTCTTGATTTCTCTAGCAGAACTTCCCTGTGGGGAAGCTTTTAATTAACTTCTGGGGATTGTACGCAAAAACATTTTAATATTTGCACTGGCTGTTCATGATTCAAAAGCGGTTTAAGTGCCCTTTTGCTAACGTTAATCACTAATAAGTAACAGACGAAGGTGTTTGGTTTTTATACTCAGTTAGGTAACATCGTCGTTTTTAGACGTAGTTAGTGGATTCTTGTTAGATAACAAAGTAGTTCCTGTATTATTTTGATAAAACTTTTCAGAACAATGTAAACAAGTAGGAAACGCTTTAATTAGAAATGAAAAAGAATGAACTGAATTCAACAGCCAGATGAAATAAAATTATTTGTAAAACGAACGGAAGGCTTCTCGGGGTCATTCTAAGACCCCGTAACTGATAAAAAGTCTATCGGAAGAGGAAAAATGCCGGAAATTCCTAATGATGAGAATTGATTTTTTTTTCCTTTTAACTTTTGCAATGTTAATTTTTTGATTAAGAAAATGATTGAAGAATACTAGATTTTTATTTCTTTTAACAGAGCGCAATTCAAGTCTCAACTGAGCAGCCTCAGTTAAGCATTATATTAATTTGTTACGTAATCTTCTCTTTTACTTCTTTTTTTCAATCTGCGCATTTTAATAGAAGGCGTTGTTTTCTTTTGTTTAAAGAGTTTCCTTTGCATTTAGTTTGCTTGTAAAATCGCTGTTTTGCCGGTTTAATGTGAGTTTTCATTTTCTCAAGTTTTTGTTTGAATTTCTTTTCTGAATTGGTTTTATGTATTTCATGTATTTTTTCCTGGACTTATACAAAACCTTCGGGTTACTGAGAGAGTTACTTTTGGCACCTAATTTTGCCTCTCTCTCAGTAGAAAAGGTTTTGTTTTATGGCTTCCAAGGCCAGTATCCCCTGAAGACGTCGGCTTCGGTGATCATATTTTTATTTTTATTCTTTCGTTTTCTTCATTGCTATATTTATTCTTTCTTTTGAAAATTCTGCTGCGCGTTTGGTTCAAAGAATGTTTTGTCAATTTAGAATTAAATACTCTGTACTCTTTTACTATAGCAGAATTGATGAGCTTACCTTTTTTGGACGCTGTAAAACTGTCATGTCTTTCAAGTCTTTCAATTTGTGCCTGCAGTCTACTCGTAGGTAATACATTAGTGTCTGCGTTTACGTGATCCACAGCTTGACGGAATGCTAACTCTAGGCCTTCATCTCCACTTTCGAAGAGCCCAGCTAAAATAAAACAAATAAAACTATTAATTATTTCCTTTATTTCAAATAATAGAGTTACAATTAGTGCCGCAGACAAAAGGGGTTTTGTGTTTTACGCTCTATGGTATTTCTGTAAAAAACAGAGAGTTGTCCTTTCTTTAATACCGTAGTGTTCCTTTTTTTATAAAGAAAAGTCTAGTACCCATATTTGTACGAACATCTGCAAAATTAATAGAGTTGCGTATTAATTTATATAAATGACTCCTTTTTCGAGAAAAAAGCTCTTAGTCCATAACTGCAACGCACTTAAACAAAAATAAAAGAGTTCACCGTTAATTTAAAGGGTTATTTTATAAGATTTCTTAACTTAATTCGAGGATATTTTGGATTGATGAATGGAAAACTCTGGTAAGAGGCCAACTACTTGATAACCATATAGGCGTCTGGTTTTATCATCATTTTGCTTTCGATCATCTTGTCATCTATCTAATTTCACCATTCTTGTTAAAAATCACCCTCAATGCTGTATGATGAATTGATTGAGAAAATATTTTTATCAAATAATTGACAGTTCGCGTCTCATACACGCGATTTCGTGACGAAATGATTCTTAAAATTAACGAAACACAGCTCAAGGATCGTTGAATCGCCTAATCGTCTAAATGTGTAAACCAAACTTCAACTATTTTACGGTACCTTCAGATTAAATTGAGGTAGCATGTCTTATTGATGTTTAATAATTGTTGTGGCACTTACGCAACACGTTTTATTTTGGAGAGTGCGACAGTTCAGATTATTTCCATTTCTCCCAATCAAATAAGATTAATTCAAATTACCTTCTGATTTCGTTCAAAATATTTCAACATAAGAGCAAAATAACTTTATTTGTTTTATTTTAAACTGCTTATCGCCAATCTAAATCTTTTCTATGTAAAAAAGTCAAGATTTATTCATTCACTATGTTCAATCATTTGACATCACTAACAATCGCGAGAAATTAAACTCAGCCCTTTTTTTACTTGCTTACTGCGAACAAACAATCAGATGTTTTCTGCGCAGTTCCAGAAAGATAAAAATGAAAATTTAGCAAAATCGGGAAAAAGCGAACGGAAAGCCGGAAATTGTTTTCATCCCTCACATTCCGATAAAAGCATAGTCAGGATGTGCGCTGTTTCCTCTTTCAAAAACGAAACTAAGAAAGATTGATAAAATCGACTGACTATACAGTACAGTTATATTTTCTAGAAGAAAAAAAATAATAAATGCATAATTAAATTTTGCTCAGAATATTTGAACAACCATAAAAGATAGAAAGGTTTTTAAATCGTGTATTCAATTTATTCTGATTTGCTCTATTTTTGAAATTAGAAAAAAAAAATTGATAATTTTTTAAAAAGTTTCTTCTTTACAGTTTTCATAAAATTAAAAAAAAAACACGGTACTGTTTTTTGATTTCATTTAGCATGTAATCTATTAATTTAATAAGCCATAAAAATTGTCATACATTTTGCTTAAATCACAAAAATTTCTAACAAAAAAAAAAAAAAAAAAGAAGAAAAGCAACATCGTTATTAAAAACACGCTTAATCCGAAAACGAAATTCAGACACATCTACCATAGAACTCTATTCGTTAGAAACACTGTAAAAAGATTCCGGATCATAGTACGGTAAAATCTACTGGCGTTCAGGAGGACAGTATTTTTTAAAGTAAAATAAATTTTTACTAGGACGTTTTACGGAACAAAAAATCTAACATACCGTATTTTTTACAGTAATAATTATCGTAAAATCGCTGAATCATTCGAATTAAATAAATATTACTGTAGAAATTACTGTATTTTATGCCGTGTTAGAGCCGGTATTTTATACCGTAATTAGACCTGGAATTTTTTACAATCCAGTATTATACATATTTAATGGGACACTCGTATTTTAATTTAATACTAAAATTAACTGTATTATGAGGTAAATTATTGTATTGTAATTGTATTTATGGTATTATTGTGTGTATTATTGTAACATAATTGCACTTATAAGGGAATTTTCAATTATAATATCTCGAATAATTGTATAATTTACTGCGTAATTATGTTCAGACTGCTACATAATATGTCCAGAAATAAATAAATACAATTTTTATTCATATCACCGGCTTGTTATCACTAATGATTAGCTTATTTTCCGTAAAATCGAATTTCTTCTTTCTCAAAAAAGCGATAGTTTAATTCTTTAAGAATTTCAAAGCATATGAATTTTTCTTAAAAATGTCAACTTATTATTTCGAAAAGTGACAGCAGTCTTAAATTTTCCCCTTATCAGAAGCCATTTTTATGTTTTTTTTCTTCAAAATTCTTTACTTTTTTGGGAAACAAAAATAAAAGATTAAAAAATTTAATAGTAAAATTAAAGCAACATATAAATTCTTTCAAACACGAATCGTTGACATAGAAAGTTAAAATGAAATAGTCTTCACTTATTATTTTTGGATATAATTCAAGGATTATGCCAAACATAAAGGATTGCACGGAAGTCTTTATTTATTAGATAATTTACAAATATCTACTAAAGATCGTAAAACGGTATAGTGTTATCAAATTTGATTAGTGAAATCGTTTGGAGGAAATGGAATCTTAGAAATGTTCTATGTTTGGCATAATCGGAATTAATTTGACTCGTCATATCTAAATATCTTGAAATTAGCATATCTAGCGAATAAAATTAATGGCTTAGAGAGATTGCCTCATTGATGAATAAATTAACGACAATAGCATAGCTGACAACTTGTACGGTTGTTAAGAAAGATTTCAGAGAGTGTTAGTCTTATAATTCTTATGGTTTTATGATTTTTTTTTAAAGTTAAGCTGTTTTTTCAACACTCATATGGATATTTGCCTAACTAATCCATCTTATACACGTATGTTTGAATTACTTATTTGTCAAGGTAGGTAACATAATTTAATATTTAATTTTAGTTATTAAAATAATTACGCTAAAATGTAATTATTAATGCCACTAAGAAAAAATATTCTCGATTGCAGTACATGTTGGCACCTATGCAGTAGAATCGAACTAACTAATGTATAGTATTCTCAGCTCCCATTTTAATTCATTTTCTTGTTTATATTTCATCTGAATCAATGAAAAAAAAAGAGTGTTCCCTAAGAATTTTCATTTGAGTTTACAGTGTTGCTTTTGCGGTGTTTATTTAATGTAAAATTAAAAACCAAAAAATAATTGAATAAAAATAAAATAATTAAACAATGGCTATACTTACGCGAAATATAAACATGAAGGGGAAAAATATAGTTAAAATAGGAGAAGTAAAATTGTAATTAAGATCGTTTTACGAAGTAAATTAAGATTTGCATATTAATTAATATCTGTTGATTAAGATTATTTTAATTATTTCATAATAAATCCTCATAACATTTAAAATTTAATAGAATGTCCTAAATGTTTCAGCCTTTTTTTTATTTATTCTTTTTCATTTGGTGGCATTTGAACAGGTCTGAAATAAGCCAGAATGTTTAAAAATAAATATGTGTTTATATTCTATACATAGAATTCAGAAACCCATTGTTTCTAATTCGACCAATTAAAGTCAACAATTAAATAAAAAATGACTTAAAGGGGTCTTCGCAAGAGTAGTTAGAGTTCGGTTGCATTGTTTTTTTCTCTCTCCACCATAAGCACAGAACCTGGTGTCTTAAGATTTTGAACTGTTTTGATAATTACAAAACTCTGAAATGTACTAAACAACTTTTAACGTCAAGGTAGAACAAGTTTTGATTCAAGAACTTGTGTGATTCTATAAAAAAGGAATTGTCTGAAAGATGTGGAACGGGCATTAAAAAAATGGCATGGATATTATATAATACATTTATAAAAATAAGATGAGCAAATTTATTAAAAAGGAGATGCATTTTGCTGTCTTTAATTGTTTTTTTCATTACTTTTCCTGAGAACATAATGGATATAGTATTTTACTAACGTGTAAAATAGTATTTTACGAATGAATTAATTCAGATTGTTTTAACTAAGAACTAAATTAAGATTGTTCGATTTATTTACGCACTGTTAGAATTTTCATTCTAAAATGACGGTAAAATAATCAGCATCATTCAATCCTACTATGTCATAAGTTTAAACAATAATTAACAGTAATCATAAAGTTTATTGCTAGGAACATTTTTTCCCTTTACGGTTTTGAAACCGTTTACTACTAGAATTGTGAAAATATCGTGAATACAAGAATTTACGGTTATGTAACCATTTACATCTAGCCTAATTTCTAAATCATAAAAATAAAACTTTAACCGATATTGGAGCTTTGTGAGTACTGCTTTATTTACCTTGTTTAGACGGTCATGAGATTGATCAATTAGTTCTTCCAGCTACAGTACGTACGCAACAGCACGGAACAAAATGGTTTCATACGTTGATCCTAGTTGGCGCGTATAGAATTCTGGTTGTTAAACAGTATTTAAAAACAATCAATAAATGATTCTCACACTTAGCAGTTTTATTATTAACTGTATATGGTAATTCGACTGTTTTGGTTGAATATAGTAAATAACAATTAAACGAATTTATATTTCGCCATTTTTATCGAGAAATTTCTATTGGTGCAGATAGCATTGTCTGGTTGTTTTTCATATAGCAGAAACCTTAATCGCAAAACCTCAACAAGGATTGTAAATGATAAATCATGCAAGCTTGAAACTACAAGTATGTTTTAACAAGTATGTGAACTTGTATGTTTTATTTAATTATGCTAGATTATTCACAATAAGGTACGCATCAATCGTGCATACATAGCCATTTTATATCGAGATTGAATTTAAAAACGCTACACATCATCATTATAAAAATGTGGCGTTTGATAACCTTAACACACCAGGGGAAAAAAGTTCAAAAACAAGGTTTGCAATGAAAGGTTAGAAATGATATTATTTTCTAAAGGTTTATGCGAGCTTTTATTCAATATTAAAAAAAGCCCATATTGGCATTGAAACATTTC